TAAGATCCTTATAAATACAAGAATAATACCATTAGAGGAAGATTAGATTCATTCACTCATATCAAACTGATACACTTAAGTCCGAACCTACATTTGGTGTTCATATTCAAAAGATTTAGTGCCATACGAGCTTGTTCATACAACTGACATCATAAAAAAACTCAAATAACAAACACCTAATCTCTCACACTCAATGTTGTTAAGACGTAGAGTCTACGTAGAAACGGTAGGGGTGAGTAAAAATGTAAAATCGCAAAACGTAAGAGTTTACTACTTACAAAACAATATATCTAACATATAGAAAACCAAAACATCTCACTCTACTGTGTGTGTCCTTGGACCCAGACTCATTTACTCAAAAAATTAGTTAAATCCTCTTAATTAATCGTGCACGGGCTACGTCTTGGATCCACTGTAAAAGCCCAGAATATTAATTTTTTTTTTAAATTTAATTAATAATTTGTCATTTTTTAAAGTACGTAAGTATACATATTTTTTTCTATTTTAAATTTTAATTGACTGTTTTATAAAATTAAATTAATTTTTTTATAAAATGAAAAATGTGTGTAGAAAAGAAAAAGAAAAAAGATCACGTGTATAAAATAAATTAATTTTTTGCTGGTTGTTGCTGATTGTAGTAACTAACTGTGTATTCTGCTCTTCCCTTTTGCATCCACTTTTTTTTTTTTTTTTTGAAAAAAACTTAGTCAACTTGGTAAACTCGTCGAGTCAACCGAGTTTACCTAGTTGACATGGCGTTTCAACTGTTTCGATCCAGAATCCGTTTCAACTACCGTTTCAACACGTTTTGATACGAAGGAGGAGGAGGGAGCTCACACGCGTGGAACCAGATTGAGAGGGTGTCCTAGTTGGGTTAAGGATTACACTCAGTAGAAGGATATCACTGATGTAGTTGAGTTGTATAGGTGACACGTATATGTAGTTGAGTTGTATAGGTGACACATATATGTAATAATGTTGTAATAAAGGATACGTGGTGGCAAGCACGTGGGAATGTATAAATAGATACAAACGTGTAATTGAATGGTCATTGAATGAAATAAACAGTTGATTACGTGTTACTACTCAGATACACTACGTGTGTTGTATCATTGGTGCTTTCATTCTAGTGGATTCAAAACATGAAGATTCAAGATCTAGTAGACGAATTTCAGCAATATCGGGAGCAGAACAATCAAAATAACCTGCGTATCGAACAATTGTTGATAGCGATGGAGGCACGGGTGCAAGAATTGCATAGTAGCTTTAAAGATGTTCTTACCAACATACCCAAGGGTCCAATGGAGACAAACCCTCAAGGGGTTCCTCACCAACCGGCGCGCAATGTTCCTCATCAAATTGGGAACGCAGATGATCCTAGGAACGTGCTGAAGTTTGTGAAACCAGAAATTCCCAAATTTGATGGGAAAGAACCGAATCCTTGGATCTTCAAGACAGAGTTATTCTTCAAGATTCAACAGGTACCAGAACAGATGAAAGTGGAGCTTGAAGGTTTGAGAATGGAAGGAGTTGCTGCAGATTGGTTTCAATGGATTTTCAGTGGAGGAACGATTCGTTCTTGGGAAGATTTCACTCGATCAGTTCGTGAGCATTTTGGACCATCAAATTACAAAGATATTCGAGGGGTACTTGCCAAACTGATGTAAACTGGATCATTAGCGAATTATATGGCTGAATTTTAGAGATTGATGAATTAGGTATCAAATGTTAGTGGCGATCTGTTAAAGACATTTTTCGTGGCTGGATTACAACCTGAGTTGCAAGGAACAATTCAACTCCGTTGGCCATCTTCATTGCATCAAGCCATGCAATTGGCAATTGCTTACGATAGTCACCATGGGGAATTACGATCTTCTTTCACTAATCATCCAAAGAAATTTTTCCAGAAACAGTATTCGGTAGGAACAACAGAGAAAGGTAATTCTAATACACCACTTGCCTTAACTGCTTCACAATCATCTCTACCAGTAAAGAAAATGTCAAATGAAGAATTACAAAAGAAAGAGACTTAGGACTTTGTTACACATGCGACGAGAAATGGACATCCAAGTATCGTTGTAAATCTAAGATGCTTCTGATGATAGTAGATGACGAGAATTCAGATGAAGAACAAGAAAAAGAAATTGTATAGGGTCAGGATGATGCTCATGGCTCTCGGGTAGATGCTGCCTTGCATTCGTTATCTGGAAAGGTGGATAGTCGTTCCCTTATTCTGCTTGCTGATGTAAAAGGAAAAGAAGTTCAAGTGCTAGTAGATTCGGGTGGTTCGCATAGTTTCATTAGAAGACAGCTAGTTGAAGAACTCCAATTACCTATTATGCGTGCCAACAAGATGAGAGTATTCTTGGGCAATGGTGAATTTTTGCTCTGTGAAAAGAAATGTATGCAAGTTCAATTATGGATTCCAGGTCATTGTGTAACTACTAACTTATATGTGGTTGATTTAGTTGACTTGTATGTAGTATTGGGCATGCAATGGTTAGTTACATTGGATAGAGTTACTCACAATTATGGGGAAGCAACGACAAAATTTACATGGGGTAATGAGTTAATCACTTTGAAGGGTGTGAGACCACGAAGAAAGATGCAGAATGTAAAGTTAGAAGAGGCCAATTGCAACTCACTATCTATGACAAATGAGACAAACATTGCTCCGGAGGTAAATTCTGATCTCTGCCTTTTAAGAAGGAAATTACCTGAGGTGTTGTGGACTGCATTGGTTGCTTATCAACAAGTTTTTGATATTCCCAAACTGCTACCTCCCTTTAGAGAGATGTCTCATGCTATTAATTTGGTGGAAAACTCCAAACCTGTTAAAGTAAAACCATATAGGTGCCCGTACAACCAGAAAGAAGAAATAGAGAAACAAATCTCAAGCCTATTAGCCAATGGCGGGATTCAACAAAGCCATAGTGCTTTTTCCTCTCTAGTCTTGTTGGTCAGGAAGCAAGATAAAATATGGAGAATGTGTATTGACTATCGTGCCTTGAATGCGGTAACTGTCAAAGATGCCTTCCCAATTCCTATAATAGATGAGTTATTTGGTGCAAGGATATTCAGTAAGCTCGATTTACGCTTGGGCTATCATCAAATAAGGATGAAGATGGAAGACATACACAAAACAACATTTAGAAATCACGAGGGCCACTATGAGTTCAAGGTGATGCCATTTGGCCTAACCAACGCACCTGCAACTTTTCAAGCTGCCATGAATAGGATTTTTCGTCTATATTTGCGCAGGTTTGTTGTAGTTTTTTTTATGATGTCTTGATTTATAGTCCATCATTAACAGAACATGTCAACCACTTGGAAATTGCCTTGAAATGCTTACTGCAGAATTCATTCTTTGTGAAATTGAGCAAATGTGAATTTGGTGTGGAAGAAATATCATATGTGGGGCATGTCGTGACAACAAATGGAGTAAAGGCAGATCCTAAGAAGATCTCAGCAATGATTGATTGTCCTGTACCTAAATCAATTAAACAACTGAGAGCCTTTTTGGGGTTAATTGGGTATTATCGAAGATTTGTTAGAGGATATGCATCGATAGCTTGTCCAATCACTGAATTTTTGAAGCATGAGAAGCTGAATTGGAGTCCTGAAGCAATGCAAGCTTTCACAGCATTGAAGGAGGCGGTATCATCAACTCCTGTATTACAGTTACCTGATTTTGCTTCTTCATTTGTGGTTGAGTTAGATGCATCAAATTTGGGGGATGGAGCAGTATTGTTGCTGAATGGAAAACCTGTCTCATTCTTTAGTAAGAAATTTGGCCAAAGAATGGCAGCATCTTCTGCTTATGTCCGCGAGTTATATGTAGTGACAGAGGCTATTAAAAGATGGCATCATTATTTGCTTGGTTCTCATTTCATTCTTAGAACAGATCACCAAAGTTTAAGGGAGCTACTAACGTAGGCAATACAAACTCCAGAGCAGCAGAAATATGTTTACAAGTTAATGGGCTATAACTTCACAATTGAGTACAAGTCAAGCATCTCAAATGTGGTGGCAGATGCCCTTTCAAGACAATTCTCAGAAGAGGATAATGCCACTATTAATGCACTACGTTCTGAACCAACTTTAGATATTTGGCAGAAATTCAGGCAGAAAACAAAGTTAATGAGGAGTTATTAGCATTACACAAAGCTTTAGATCTGGGTACTAATCAAGACAAGGCATTATGCAACAAAGATGGAATGATTTTTCATGTTAATAAGTGCATGCTCGGGTCCAATTCTGCACTAAAAGAGACTTTGTTGATGGAAGCTCACTGCTCACAATTAGGAGGGCATGCAGGTGTGCAGCGTACATTTCTACATCTTTCCACTTCATTCACATGGAAAAATATGCGAAAGGATGTTAAGCAATTTATCAAAGAATGTGTGGTTTGTCAACAAATTAAAAGTTCAACACAATTACCTTTTGGTTTGTTACAACCATTAAGAATACCCGATGCAATTTTTGATGATCTAACTTTAGCTTTCATCACTGCTCTGCCACGTTCCAATGGTTATACCACCATTTTGGTTGTTGTTGATAGATTATCAAAATATGGCCATTTCGGAGCTTTACCATCTTCTTACACAACTGCCACTGTTGCTCATCTTTTTTGTAACATGGTAGTGAAATTACGTGGATTTCCAAAATATCTAGTGTCAGACAGAGATCCAATATTCATAAGTAAATTTTGGCGTCAGTTATTTACCTTGAGTGGTACTATATTGCAAGCTACATCAGCTTATCACCCTCAATCAAATGGCCAAAGTGAGGTGACAAATCGGTATATTAAGAAATATCTTAGGGCTTTTTGCTCAGAGCAAAATCATAAGTGGTCTAATTTGTTGTGTTGGGCTAAGCTACATTACAACACCTCGGTGCATTCTTCAATTAAAATGTCCCCATTTCAAGCCTTATATGGGAAGGCACCTACATTAGTACCTCAGTACCAGAAATGAGATGTCAAAGTTGAGGCAGTTGACATGATGTTGCAGCAACGTCATCAAGTGCTTAGTCAATTAAAAATTCAGTTGGAGAAAGCACAACTGCGCATGAAAACTAATGCAGATAGGAAGAGACATGAGAGAACATTTCAAGTTGGGGACAAGGTTTTGCTAAGGTCGCAGCCTTACAGACAGTTGTCTGTAGCTAGGAGAGCTAATCATAAACTAGCCAAAAGGTATTTTGGACCCTTTCTAGTTGAAAAGGTAATCAGTCCTGTGGCTTACAGATTAACTCTACCTAAAGGGAGTATGATTCATCCAACCTTCCATGTATCCTTGTTGAAACCGTTTTATGGTAAGGCTGATGTGAACTATGAGCCTTTACCTATTTCGAGTATGGACAACAAACCTATTCAGCAACCGATAGCAGTGTTAGCCACAAGACAGACAAAGTTTAGAGGAAGGTTAACAACAGAGTATCTAGTTCAATGGTCTTCCACTGTCCTTGAAGATGCTTCTTGGGTGGAGAGGATGGAGCTGCACCAAGTTTATCCTGACTTAAACCTTGAGGACAAGGTTACTGTTGCAGGGGAGATTGTTGATACGAAGGAGGAGGAGGGAGCTCACAAGCGTGGAACCAGATTGAGAGGGTGTCCTAGTTGGGTTAAGGATTACACTCAGTAGAAGGATATTACTGATGTAGTTGAGTTGTATAGGTGACACATATATGTAGTTGAGTTGTATAGATGACACATATATGTAATAGTGCTGTAATAAAGGATACGTGGTGGCAAGCATCTGGGAATGTATAAATAGATACAAACGTGTAATTGAATGGTCATTGAATGAAACAAATAGTTGATTACGTGTTACTACTCAGATACACTACGTGTGTTGTATCACGTTTTTTGTCATAAAACGTAGAAACCATACGTTTCTACGTTTCGACACTACATTTTTATAACACTGCCTACACTCAATAGAATTGAAGGTGTTTGACCCTGTTAAGCGTTAATAAATTAAGCCACCACTTTTCTAGTAAATTAAATTAGTTCTGTTCTTCTATCCTTCTTATTCCTGCTAGCCACAAAAAAAAAAAAAAAAAAGTGAATACAACATTGCAGCCCCTTACTCTAGCTGACGTTTTGAAATGGACGCTAAAACCAGTTCTTGGTTTATCAATGTACTTAATTTAAACTACAAGCCACTAATAATTGGATACAAACATTGGCTTTGCTTTAAGTACGTAATGTGGACAACTACGTGACTTTGTCCATTGGATTCTTAGGGTGTGTTTGGAAGAAGATTTTATTAAGGATAGATAGGGAAATAGAAGTGGTATTTTTGGATGTCTATGTTTGGTATCATGTTTTAAAATTTTTTGCAAGGGAACTCATTTGCCTAGTATTTGCTTTTTGTGTGTAAAAAACACTGTTGAATAATACCACTTACAAGGTGGTATTTGCTGATAGATGGAGAAATCTAAAAAGGATTGCAAGCAAGGAGACCAAAAGGACCCTGATGTTTGGGAAAACTACAACAAACTAAAACTATATTTTCCCATTTTATTTTAGTCAAGGATTGTTGTGGTAATTTAACCATATTTTCCCATTTATATTTTACCTTCAATCTAACATAGACTTATAAAATTCTATCCAATTTTCCCGATAAAATTTTAGCTAACCAAATAATTTTTTTTTAATTTTCCTACCAAACTTCATTTCTCACCATATCCCTAGTAGTTACATCTTCCTGATAAAAATTTTTTCCTCCTCTACCAAACGTCCCCTTAATTATTTGTTTAATATTTCTTGAAAACTCGTTAAAATTTGAGCATGAAATCGATTAGAACTAAGTCCCTTGCGTCACGATTGAATTGCCTATGGCTCCTGTCTCAATCGCAAATTACAAAATATGGACTTGACACAAGGTGAAATTCTGTGAGGTGGGTAAGGGTATCTCAAGTTTAGCCTCTTCATTATAGAATTTTCAATTGAATCTTATTGCGTCAGCTGCTATTGACATCAAGGAATGTCCGAGTCACCGCAACAAGAAACCACAACTTGGGTGATTATTCCAAAGACCACTTACCTTTATAATCCAAACACCACCCCACAAGCCAGAAAAATTTCCCAAAACTAGAGAGTGATATATTTTCATTTCATCTATGAATTTTAGTTCTCTAGAGAATGCTTTCTCTTTACCAAAGTCACTTTTGCCAAATGAAGCATCACCCGAGTGGAACAACAAGGCAGATAATGCATGGCAACTAACTGCAGCAACATTAGTGGGCCTTCAAAGTGTTCCCGGGCTTGTTGTACTTTATGGTAGCATGGTTAAAAGAAAATGGGCCGTGAATTCTGCTTTCATGGCCCTCTATGCTTTTGCTGCTGTACTTGTTTGTTGGGTCATGTGGGCCCATAGAATGGCATTTGGGACCAAGCTTATGCCATTTGTGGGAAAGCCCAATCATGCTTTGGCTGATGGGTTTTTACTTGCTAAGTCAATACATGGTTCTTTTCCAATGGCTGACTTTGTACTATATCAATTTGCTTTTGCTGCAATTACTGTCGTGTTGCTTGCTGGGTCTTTGCTTGGGAGAATGAATTTCCATGCATGGATGCTGTTTGTGCCTATGTGGCTTACACTTTCTTACACCATTGGTGCCTTCAGTATATGGGGCAATGGCTTCCTTCAACCAAAAATAATTGATTATGCTGGTGGCTTTGTCATTCATCTATCTTCTGGCGTCGCAGGTTTCACGGCTGCTTATTGGGTAATTGAAATTGCAAACCTGATTTTTTAGCAAGTCTTGAATCATGTCCAAACAATATGTCAGTTATAAAATGTTTCATAATTATCATGTTTAAGTGTTCAATTTTTATTTTTATTTTTTAAAAAAAAGTTACTTTGACACAAATAAATTACGTGACATATACATGTGCATAATCTGGAGTAAATCTTTGGTGCAATGGATGTAGGTACATTCTTACCAAAAAGACTTAATTATTAAAAAATTTCACAAGACTTAATTATTTATTAATTAAATGAGGCGGTGAGAATCATGCTCTGATACCATGTAAAAAACTAATTCAATTCAAAAGATTAAACTCATGGGTAAGTTATATTAATGATTTTATATTTGTTTAACAATGATAAATGTAAGAGTAGTGTAGATGTGTTACTTTTTTTTTCATATTTAGTAAAAGATGTACCGAGTGATTGATATATCCGTATTACTGAAAATATTTCCATTAACCATTTATAAAAGGATTTACAATTGGAGCCTACTATTATTTTTACTTATTTATTTGGGAGGGGCATTCTATGGGTGTGACCTTAATTTTATGAGTTTCACAAACAGAAAGTAGATCTTTCTCTTTACTTATGCCCTCTTTAGTGACGTTAGAATTTGATCATAAAACCTTATATTTATTGCAAAAATAGAACTATCTTGAGTTGTCAACCTTTATATGTAAACTCAATAAGTGATGTAAGAATCATTGTAAGTCGTGACATGATAGTATAGCTTGTTTAACATTATGTCATGCAATGGGACTTGTAGATGTTTGAGTTCCATCTTGGAACATGAAAAAACCGTTGCATGTCTTACCATTGTTTGCAACTGTACAATTTCGTTCGATGCTGTAAATGTAGTTTGATATTTAAGCCAATATGTTTGACAATTTTAGAATAAATTTGATTTTGTCAAAATCATAATTTTGTTATTCAACAGCAAAAGTAATATCACTTTTGCTTTAACGGTAAAAAAAAAAAATCAGTTTGATGTATATTAACAAAAAAATTCTTATAGTTTAATATTATATTATAACTTTAACATTATTTACATTCCGTTAGTAATAATATTATATCAAAAAGTATTTTTTTTATCAATAAACTTAATTAATATTTTCATCGAAATTATTTTTTAGTTAAAAATTTCTAAATATAAATAAGTACTTATAGACCAACTTCTAACAAAATTAAGTCTAAAAAATTTGAATTCTTAGTAAAATCAAGTTTTCAAAACACAATTAATTTTAGAACACCTTACATATATATGTCAAGAGAAATTCTTAAACCATTATCCGTGTAATATTTGTTGAACATCATATAAGAGTACTTGTCATACGTCTAATTAATGTGGATGAATGGCAGGTTGGTCCAAGAATTTCGCATGACAGGCAAAACTTCCCACCAAATAATATAATTCACATGCTTGGAGGTGCAGGGTTTCTATGGATGGGTTGGACAGGTTTTAATGGTGGGGCTCCATTTCAAGTGGGAGAGACTGCATCCTTGGCAATCTTCAACACTCATCTATGCACTGCCACAAGCCTACTTGTTTGGCTTTCCCTTGACATGATTGTATATCACAAGAGCTCAGTCATAGGTGCTGTCCAGGGAATGATCACTGGCCTTGTTTGCATCACACCAGGTGCAGGTAAAGCTCACACAGCACCACACATCAAACAGTTTAAACCTTCCTGTGTGTGCACACAATGTTTTCACTATTCAGTTTATAAACTCAGAGATATGTTTACTAGACTTGGCATTTTGTTAGAACTAATATGCTTATGAGAAAGCAAGTTTATGATATAGTATCATAACATCTATAAGTCTATAATTAAGTGGTTTAGAGTTCAAATCACCAAACACGTGAATCAACTGGTAATGGATTGTTCTAGCTTAATCAGTGATCTCGAGTTTGAGTTCCTGAAGATTTAGCTGGGTTAAAATTTGATAGCGAGAGCTTTGCCGCCCATGTAGTCCAAACCGACTCGAATCAAACTAGTCAAATAATCGATAAACTTATGAATAATATTAAAAAAAAAAAGAGTTCAATCTTTGCATCTTATTTTTTTTAAAATAAAACATTTGAATTTCAATATAAATTTGTATCACACATGGGTTTCAATCCCAAAAATGGCTCTTAGGTGAATTCATACGTTAGAAATATCATATAAAATTATGGATCTTTATTTTGTCATGTTACATGAAGGAAATTCCTATCATGCAATACTAAAAGAAAAAAAAAATTAATAATAAAAAAATGAGACGAGACACTTTATTCAATGATTTTGTTTTGTCATATCTTAACGGAGATTGTTTTTATTATGTTACATAACATAAAATCATCTTCCTACACACACAAATTTTATATGGGACCCACTTTAAATTTTTCTCTTTTTCCTATTCTCTCTCCTCTCTCTCTTCCTTTTGTGAGAGTAGGAAGTTTGCTTTTATGTTATGTTACATAACAAAAACAATTCCCTATCTTAACATGATCAAATTATTTTTTCTACAACATAACTCTTATTTATCCCTAAAATTATTTATATGCCGCACTTAAGCTTGTGAGAAAATTAGTTTATAATATGGTTAGAAGAGTTTGATCCATTTTGCACATCCCAAAATGACACTTGTATAAGGATGTGTTAAAATTATAATATAAAAAATTTCATGTGCTTTCGCCGGACAATTTGTGGTAGAAATTCATACACTTTCACCCAACTGCTTTTAACATTTTAGCATAGTTGGTTCACGACATTCTTAACCTTTTTACTTGTGCACATGAAAAGGGTTGGTGGATTCATGGGCAGCAGTATTGATGGGAGCTTCGTCTGGTTCTATTCCATGGTACACCATGATGGTGTTGCATAGGAGATCAACGTTTTTTCAAAGCGTGGATGATACATTAGGAGTTTTTCACACTCATGCTGTGGCTGGTATTCTTGGGGGTCTCCTTTCTGGTGTGTTTGCCAAACCCAAACTTTTGAGGATGATGTATGGCCCTGGAATGCCTTATGGTCCTGGTTTATTCTATAGCTTTTTTGAAGACAAATTGGGTCAAGGGTTCAAGCAAATATGGTACCAGTTACTAGGAGCAGCTTTTGTTACTGTTTGGAATGCCATTGTTACTAGCATCATCTGTATTCTTATAAGCCGCATTGTTGATCTTAGGATGCAGGAAGAGGATCTTGAAGTTGGTGATGATGCTGTTCATGGGGAAGAAGCTTATGCATTGTGGGGAGATGGAGAGAGAATGCGATTCCCTATTCGTCTTCACATAAGTCCTACAATTCCTTCCATATGCCGGCGAAGGACTTCGATTCCTGTCACTATAAATGAAATGGAAGAATAGTGGTTGCCAAACCTGAACTTCCCCTGCATCGAGATGTGTAATGTTATGTTAATTAAATGGGATTGGAGATATGTCTACAAATATGATTTTCTTGTTTGCGAAAATTCTGCTAAATGCAATTTGTATTTTTATTACTAGTCATCCATATTTGCGAAGGATTAAAGGAACAATGTAAAAATATATAACATGCTTGTTTGTTGGATCAAATATGGGTTTAATATCGTTATGTTTGCACATTGCTCCCAACCTTTAGGTTCAACTTTTTGTTAATGTCTCAAATCGATCAACTCTAAAACTCCACACCTTCCTCAAAGGAAACTTGTGAGACAATACTAAGAAAGTGGTACAATATATGCAAATGAACGTGAATTATTTATGCTAATAAATCATGGGAAAAAAGTTTCTAATGTTACTTTAGACAACTTTGTCTAATGTTTACCAAAACGACGTCGTTTTGGGGTTGAAAAATAAAAAAATTAGAATGATAAAGACTATTATAACCCTAAAATAAATTAAAATTACAAACACACCATGATTTCTGCCCAAAACGACGTCGTTTCGATGAACATTTGATAAAGTTATCTAAAGTAACTTTAGAAAAAACAAACCCATAAATCATTCATATAAATCACATATGACATATCTCTAGGATATACATACATACCTTTCAAGATATAAGGGATCTTCTCTCATGAGGATCTTGTAGAATATATCTTCCAAACTATTCTTGAAGTACAAGAGGTTGAGTGTGGATGTACTAGCGTCTTGTCTTTAGTATGATGGCTAAACATGAGATATAAAAGATATTAGAAAATCGTAATTCTCTTTTAACCTCTATTCATACTAACTAAACCCTTTTAGGCATTCTTATGAGCCCAACTTAAGGGCCTATGTTCTAGAAAGCCCAATAAGGGCAAACAGCAAAGTGAGAAATAAGGAAAAAATCTTTAGAAGATATCAATCCTATCACTTCCTCAGCGGCGGATCAAGCATTGGAACCCCAAAATTCACAAAAAATCCAAAATTTCACTACCCACAGATAAACTCTATAAATAAGAAGGAAAGCCTATAGGTACGCACACTTACTCTCTCTATTAGTTGTCATTGTACACATACCTCACACTCTGGCAATGCCATTATTATAGTGCACAACGATGTGATGACCTTAAGATATCTCTTTCACAGATATCTAAGAGAACATATAGATTATATAGAAACACATCAGTCTCTGACTTGACACCTCGATCCCCAAGATCGAACATTGGCGCTGTTTATGGGAAGGTAAACTTCTACCCCCAATCCATCATGGTGAACAGAAGGAACACTGCTAACAGCCGTTGCTGCCACCCCATCACCACTATCGGACAGAATAGCTACTCAATGGACCTAGACCTCAGCCCTAGCACGAATCTGAGGCCGAAGATAATGTTGTCCACACCAGTGACACCTTGTCGGACTTGGCTTCCACCCCTGAACAGACCAACCCAAACCTGCCCAATCGCACCTAGCGCCAGATGTCGACAATCGCATAGCCTAGACTTCCCTCCTTGCCATCCTGGGTCGAATGGACGAGATGGAAAACAGATATCTAGTCTAGAGCAGGATGGATGCCCAGAGGATAAGCGAATTAGAAAACTGACTTCTCAAGCGCGTCGAGCTGGAAAAAGGGAGAGATAAAGGTCGAGGCAACAGGTAGATGCAGAGGTAAAGAGGCCGAGATCATGAGAACGATAGAAATGAAGATGGCGGCTGTAAGGACCCGCACTGTTAAATTAGGAATTTAATTAATTAATTACAAGCTTAAGTGAATAATTCCATAATTGACCTTAAGAATAATTAATATAAGGGCTTAAGAACACTGAAAGTCGCTTTTCTGACGAAAAGTGAAGATACCGGTTCTGCTCACGGTATAAATGCGTACCGATGAAGTATCCCAAAAATTATGAAAAGTATGTATATATCACTAGAATAATATCTAGGACTAGTATAACAAGTTTGGAGTCGAAATAATGAGAACTGGCGTCAAAACTGATACCGGCTACGTAAAAGCGCGTACCGGCAAAGTGCTGCAAAAAATAAAATAAAAATATGACAAATCTTAGAAAAATGGCTAGGTTCAGAATCCAAAGTTTGGGATTAAAATGATAAGCGTAGCTATTAGTGTTAATACGATGTGATTAAACTTAATGAGGGTATATATAGCAATTTGGCACATAACCCTAGGCCATAATCTGATGCTACGTGAGTCTTTGGAGCTATTGATCAACCTCTTCCCCTTCTTGCCTTCCTCTCTTTGGAAAACCACCAAGTTGTCACCTTTCTCTTGATTCTTCCCTCTTAATCTTTGTAAACACTTAGTAGAGTGATTTGTGAGGATGAAGGTCAGCCTTTGCTGAGTTGTGGGCGCTGTTTGTGGAGGTTTGGGGTGCTGCCTCTGAGTTGAGTGGTGTGGGAGCCATTGTCTTGGTTGTAGAAGCTCCAAAGAGTGACCTTTGAAGGGAAAGAACCATTCTTGGTGTGCCATTTTCGTGCACTTTTGAAGTCAGAATATTTGGACTGACTTGTGAGCTCCAAGAGCATTTGTGGTTCTGTTTTGAAGCCTTTGGGTAAGCACCATCACTTGTGATCATGATTTTTCTTATTAAAAGAGGAGTAATGGCATGTAGAATGAGCTGAATAGATAACCAACATAAACACTGACCTAATGGAGTGTAAAAATGCATGCTTTAACGTGTATGAGTGTTAAAAGAGGAACCTTGGGAGTGATATCTCGCGAAATGCAGAAACTGCATTTTGTCGCAAAATATCCGGATATGGGGTTGGAGATATCCCGATATGGATATCCGGATATGGATATCCGGATATGATATCCGGATATCCCGACAAATATCTGAATATTCTGGGAATTTCAAGACAGTTACTGTTCTGTTCATACAGAACTGAATATAGGATTTATGGACCCTAGATTGGTTAAATTGAACCTCTGTAATAATTGAACTAAGTCAGAATCAATTGGATTAAGGGATTATGGCTTTGAGAGAGGCCTAATGGCATAAAACGATAAAGAGAACGTTGTCATTGTGTCATGAACTCGTAGATTATAAATATTGATATGATTGCTGGTCTAAACAGATTGTGATTGTGATGTTTGTGGATCTTGAGCTAGTGTGGACTTTGGCTTGGATTGATTGCTTAAGAGGTAAGCTTTCGTGTCCTCAGTTTTGCCATTGTTGGTTCCACCATACTTCATGGGGGATGGTTTATATGCATGATGTTTTTCATGTATTGATATTTGAAATGCTATTGAGCTGTTAAGTGAAAATGTCTTATGATATGTATATGTTGTTCCACCTAAACGGTAAGCCTGAGTATGTGGCGTTATACAAGATGGTGATTCTGTGGGTGGGTGCAAGTAGCGTCTTGCACTGATTGTAGGTTATAGACGTATGTAATTCCAGCATATTCTCTGGCTAGTAGTATTTTGACACACATGACATGATTATATGCTGCATTGCACTGATTTTGGAACTTATACTTTTTTACTGCTTTTAGAACTTATATTGCACATGTAAGTGAGCTTGGGGTGGAGAGATCCTTGAGAAACCCTTGTCTTACTGAGATTTCTTTTTAGAGATCTCACCCCACGTTTGGGGCATGTAACACCCCGTGTATACTCGGTTTGTTATCATGTCATCGTATTAAGCTACACTTAATTAAAAATGCGGAATAACTTTTTCTTTTCAATTATGACGTCATTAATATTAACCAAGTTGATTACTTAATCATTTTCCAAGTGTGGTCCCATCATGTTTTTTGAAAAAAATAAAATAAAAATAAAATTAACATGGCACAAAAAAATTACTATTGCAAAAGAAGAAGTGTTTTACCCTACTTTTAAGTCACAAAACCAACTTATTCCTCTCTCTTGGTTTCTTTTCTGAGTATAACCTCAGTTTTAGATTACTAAATATTGTATCCACTATCAAGTAAATATATATACACCTATAATATGTGAAACCATGTACATACCTTTTTTTTTAACTCATAAAATAGTGAACCAAATCGCACTCTTTCGTGTTTTTTTTTTAAAAAAAAAAATTTATCACATTAGATAAAGCCAAATCACAATTTGGAAAAGCTAGAATAAAGCTAGGATCAAAAGGACAAGGACAATATTAGAATAAGTATTTTATTTTTCTATTTCCTTTATAGGTATTCAGTTTTACACCTCATCTACTTTTCTGTTGTAGGACACATGTATAGGGAGGTATTCTGTTTTGACACCTCAACTATTTTTGCTGTTATAGAAACGTGTAAACAGCTCACCAATTCGGGTGTGGTTGAGATGCATATATACACACCATGTAAAGAATGAACTGAGATTATCAATGAGAATTATTACTTTCTTCTTTCTCTGTTTTCTAATATGGTATCAGAAATTTTTCCTTCCTAGTCTTTGAAATGGCCCGCGGCAATAATAACGTCGCTTCCAACTCAGCTTCATCTGGGTCCTCTTCTGCAGGTTCAGATGATTCTGGTAGTCCTTATTTCCTATCCAGTGGTGATCACCCTGGGCTGATTTTGGTTGCTCATCCGCTTGTTGGCTCCAATTTTCATTCCTGGAGCAGGGCCATGATTTTAGCTTTGATGGCAAAGAACAAGTTAGGTTTCGTTGATGGCTCTCTTCCTTGTCCTTCGAACACTGATTTCTTGTTTTCGCCCTGGACTCGATGCAACTCCATGGTTATTTCATGGATTCTTAATTTCGTTTCAAAGGACATTGCTGATAGTCTTATGTATTTTGCTTTGGCTTCTGAAGTTTGGGTTGACCTCCGCACCTGTTTCCTTCAGGCAAACGACCCTCGTATCTTTCAACTTAAACAGCAGATTTCTTCATTACATCAAGGTGCTCTCGATGTTAATGCTTATTATACTCGTCTCAAGGTCCTTTGGGATGAGCTCCAAGATTATGTTCCTCACATTCCCTGTTCTTGTGGTGG